TTCATCAACAGTGTCCCATTCATAATGCGCCCACATTCTCTCTCCAAATGTCGTGCATTTAAGGACAAGCCTATCGAAGAACGCAAGACATTTCTCAAAGAACATAATATCTGTTTCAAGTGTTGTGCATCCTCCGATCATTTCGCTAGAGACTGTAAGATCGCCATCAGATGTTCCCTGTGCAACAGTGCGAGGCATGTGGACGCACTCCATGCAGACCTGTTCAAAAGGAAACCTTCACCCGGCAGCAACCCCAAGACCACCTCAGATGATGGCGGGGAGAGAACTGAGCAACATGCCGACCCCGTAACCACAAGATGTACAGAGGTGTGTGGAGAAGGGCTTCATAGCAAGTCTTGCAGCAAGATATATGTCTTGTAAGGGTTTTTCCTGAAGGATGTCCACAAAATGCCATAAAAATGTATGCCATACTCGACGATCAGAGCAATCGCTCGTTGGCAAGTACAGAATTCTTTGACTTATTCAACATTCATGGAGAGGCCTGGTCCTATACCTTGCAGACATGCGCAGGAAGGGTCAATACTTCTGGAAGAAGGGCCCATGGCTTCATAGTGGCATCAGAATATGAGAACATAGAGTTTCCTCTTCCTACTCTAATCCAATGTGATCAATTACCGAACAACAGAGAAGAGATCCCTACACCTGAGGTTGCACGTCATCACCCTCATTTGAGCCACATTGCTAAATGCATTCCTACACTTAGCAAGGATGCGAAGATCTTGATTCTTCTAGGGAGAGACATTCCTAGAGTTCATAAAATAAGAGAGTTATGCAACGGTCCGGATGATGCTCCTTATGCCCAGAAACTTGATCTTGGATGGGTGATAATAGGAGAAGTTTTTTTAGATCAATCTCACGAGCTCTTGGATGTAGCTTCCTACAAAACTAATGTGGAGGGATCATACACCTATCAATCGATGAAATGTCCATTGCACTATTATGTGAAGGAAAGACTTGATTTCAATCCTGAAGTTCCATATCAAGTACTCCAAGGCATTACTTGCAAGCTCACTTCTCACAAGCATCTTGGTGATGCAGTGTACCAGACTACTTGTGATGACAACAAGATTGCTCCTTCGGTCGAAGACAAGGAGTTCATCAAGATTATGAATGAAGAGTTCTTCAAGGACAACTCCAACAGTTGGGTAGCTCCATTACCCTTTCGTGTACCAAGGCTTACTCTCCCTAACAATCGAGAACAAGCTTTATCAGATTTGCTGCACTTAAGAGAGACTCCTTGAAAGTATTGGAAGAACTTAATATCCCCCACGCTGCTATTCAATTACTTCAACTTCAAGAAGTCAGAGGAAAGAGATTCATATCTTTTGTGATGCGTCCACCGAGGCTATAGCGGCCGTGGCTTATCTCAAGATCATAGATCCCTCCGGGAGATCCCATGTCGGGTTTCTTCTAGGAAGAGCCAAGTTAGCTCCAAAACCGGCTCACACTATTCCAAGATTAGAATTGTGTGGAGCAACCCTAGCTGTCGAAGTTGCAGAATTCCTGCAAAACGAAATGGACACTGAAATTGATCAGGTTAAGTACTACACTGACAGCAAGGTCGTACTTGGCTACATATGCAACAGTGTAAGAAGGTTCTATGTATACGTGGCTAACAGGGTAGAACGAATAAGGAAAATCAGTAGACCTGAACAATGGAACTATGTCCCGACTGGTTTGAATCCCGCTGACATTGCCACGAGGTCAGTGCCAGCAGTTGTCCTCACGCAAACCATTTGGTTTACAGGACCAAAGTTTTTAACAGACCAGTCTTCTACAAACTCAGAAGAAGATATCGATTTCTACCTGGTGGATCCAGACACTGATCAAGAAATCCGCCCTGAAGTTATAACATTGAGTTCTAACATCTGCTCAAGAAAAACTTGGTGGTAAGATGTTTTGAACATTTCTCTTCTTGGAAAAGATTGGTGAAGACTATAGCAAGATTGAGTCATATTGCACAGATTTTCCACAAGTCCAACCAGACATCGTCTTGTCATGGATGGCACACTTGCAAGGAGTCACCCAATGCGTTAGAGTATGAGAAGGCGGAGTTATTCATCATACGTCGTGTGCAAGAAGAAGTCTTTGCAGAAGAGATTAAGTGTTTGAGAGGCAATAGACTAGTCTCAAAGGGTAGCCCACTATTCAAACTGAATCCAATAATCGACAATGAAGGTATGCTTAGAGTTGGGGGACGACTGAATAAGTCAAACCTGCTAAGAAGGGAACAGAACCCTTTGATAGTACCAAGAAACCACCATTTGGCAACCTTGATTATCCAGCATTACCATGAGAGAGTCAGACATCAAGGAAGACACTATACCGAAGGTGCCATCAGAGTTGCAGGGTTCTGGATAATTGGAGTGAAAAGACAAATAGTCACAATTATTCATAACTGTGTCAAATGTCAGAAGTTAAGAGGTAGACAGCAGTATCAACAGATGGCTGACCTACCCGCAGACAGACTGAGTGAAAATGCACCCTTTACATATGTTGGAATCGATGTGTTTGGACCATGGATAGTAACGGCCAGAAGAACTCGTGGTGGTGAAGTCAACAGCAAAAGATGGGCTGTAATGTTCACTTGCTTAAGTGTAAGAGCTGTACATATCGAAGTGATTGAGTCAATGGACACTTCAAGTTTTATCAACGCTCTAAGGAGATTTCTTGCTTTAAGAGGTCCTGTGAAGTTGTTGAGATCAGATTGTGGAACTAATTTCATTGGTGCTTGCAGAGAGTTACAGATAGACCAACAACAAGTTGGAAATTATTTTGAGTGTGATCAACGCTGCGTATGGAAATTCAACCCACCACACTCTTCGCACATGGGCGGAGCATGGGAACGCATGATTGGGATGGCGAGACGCATACTGGACTCAATGTTGCTTGACGTGAGTTCTTCACGCCTTACCCATGAGGTGCTCACCACATTCCTTGCTGAGGTCGCAGCAATAATCAACTCAAGACCATTGACTGCCGTATCTACAGACCCAGAATTTCTGACTATCTTAACTCCAGCTACATTATCGAGCCGGAAGATTGGACAGATTCCAGCGCCAAAAGGGTATTTTCGATGAAAAGGACATATATAAACGTCAGTGGAGATACGCTCAATACCTTGCAGATCGTTTCTGGGACAGATGGAGGAAGGAATACCTCACTCTTCTCCAAGGACGTAAAAAGTGGCAAACCCAGAAGCCCAACTTAAAGGAAGGGGACCTAGTCCTGCTAAAAGACCAGCAAACTCACCGGATCCAGTGGCCAGTTGGACTTATTACAAAAGCCATTCCCAGTGATGATGGAAAAGTCCGAAGTGTGGAAGTCAGGATCGTTAAGGACGGAGACTCAGAAACCTTTCTCAGACCAGTCACTGAGATTGTCCTAATTATGCCTGCTTCTAGTAATTCTGATTCAGTGTTATGTGAGGGAGTCACTTAAGACCTCTAATATAGCTAACTTGCAGATTTGAGAAGGTTAGATAGTATTTTACTGTATGCAATGTTCATAGTATTTTAAAAGGAAGAAAATAATTGTGTAGTGGTATCTCTCGATACCAGACGGGGAGTGTGCTGCCACGCAGCTTTACTGTTTAGCAGTTGTTATTTACATGTTATATTATAATGTTATTTGGTATCATCCACACACCCCTGCTGTTTCTGACTAGTTGGTTGCTTCCACCCTTCATTTCCTGTTGTAACTCCATTTTAGTTTAGTGGTTATCAAGATGCTGTAGAGTGAGGAGGCTATGTACATCACTGGAAATTTACCTATGAAAACACCTTTTATGTTCATACCTTTGTTACCTTGAAGCATAAAGAAGCATTGGAAAATACCTCTGAAGTTGTTATTCATTGAGTAAACTATCTGTTAAGGCGATCATTCAACTTGCTGCACACATTCTGACAGACCGGGTCTAAACGAATCTCGCCACAAGTACAACCGATGCCAAGACAGAACACAGATAGGTACCAAGCAGTAGACAAAGAGTAACCGGGTCACGAGCCAAGGTTCAGCAATGGGAGGTCCAATAATAATAGGAGCAGGCAGAGGAATAGTCAGGGATCAGAGCAGGAGAAGGTCAGCAAGAATCAGGACAGGCAGGGTCGGCAACTAGGAACGCACTTCAGGAACACAGGTAACAGGAACTAGACCTTGCGGCAATCTGATCACTGCCTGGCTAGTTTAAATAGTGCGCCCTGCACCGTCATTGGTGGCAGGCGCTCGCCCGCATGCGCGAGTGCGCATGCTCGGCCGCAATTGCCGCCGCGGGTGCCCAGGTTCTAATGCCTGCACATTGGTGCGCCTAGGCAATCTGCGCATGCGCAGACCTGTGCGCCGTGGCAAGACCCACGGTCCCTGACACAGCTCAGTGCCCATACCTGCCTGGTTGTCAGCACAGACACTTTCCTCTCCAGCAGGGTTGGCCTCACCCAATCCTTCCTCCGCTACCCTCCGGCTCAGGACTTGAAAGTGGAGCCAAAAGCTCAGAGCTTCTGCTTTGCTCTGGATTCTGGTTTGCCCATCATAATGACAGAGAGACAGCACGGGCCCCCCGGGAGCATGAGTGTGGTCACAATTGTGACCTCTGATTCTACATCCATGGCAGTCATGTTGGAACAGGAAGGGGCCATCCCCAAACTGTTCCCACAAAGTTGGGAGTATAAAATTTTCCAAAATGTTTTGGTATGCTGATGCCTTAAGAGTACCCTTCACTGGAACTAAGGGGCGAAGACCAACCCCTGAAAAACAACCCTACACCATAATCCCCCCTCCAAACTTTACACTTGGCACAATGTAGTCAGACAAGTACCGATCTCCTGGCAACTGCCAAACCCAGACACGTCCATCTTATTGCCGGACAAAGAAGCGTGATTGGTCACTCCAGAGAACACGTCTCCACTGCTCTAGAGCCTAGTTGCATCGTGCTTTACACCACTGCATCTGACACTTTGCATTGCCAGTATTGCTGTAAGGCTTGGATGCAGCTGCTCGGCCATGGAAACCCATTCCTTGAAGCTCTCTATGCACTGTTGTTGTGCTAATCTAAAGGTCACATGAAGTTTGGAGGTCTTTAACTCTGCAGACAGTTGGTGACTTCTACACGCTGTGCCCTTCAGCATGCACTGACCCCGCTCTGTCATTTTACATGGCCTACCACTGAGTTGCTGTTGTTCCCAGTTGTTTTCACTTTGTTATAATACCACTAACAGCTGATCATAGAATATTTAGTGGCAAGGAAATTTCACAGATGGACTTATTGCACAGGTGGCAACCTATCACGGTACCACGCTTGAATTCACTGATCTGATGAGAGCGACTCATTCTTTCACAAATGTTTGTAGAAGCAGTCTGCATGCCTAGGTGCTTGATTTTATACACCTGTGGCCATGGAGGTGACTGGAACACATGAATCCAAAGATTTGGAAGGGTGTCCCAATACTTTTGGCAATATAGTGTATGCTGAAAATTGTGGCAATCATTATTTAAACACCAAGACATAATTTTACACGTTGAAAGAAGCTGTGAATGGAGCATTTGCACTTTTTCCTATACCACACCTTGGGCACCACCACCTAACCATCTGCTGCCATTGCAGAGCCATTCCCTATTCTGTCACCAACACTCAATGGTTAGGCTGTTGCTTAGCCTCTTGCCCAGCTTCTTGCCCAGTTGCCCTATCTACTAAGTCAGTTTGCACTTGCTCCTTTATAAAGGTGAGACACATGCACACCACCAATATGGCAACCTTGTATAGGTACTTGCATTCGGTTTGCCACCAGCTTGCACAGGAGCATGTATCAGTCCAATTATTAGTATTCAACTAATGAATATCACCAATCAGTTATTAGTAAATAAATCCTAGAAAGATAGGCTACTAGATTTTACCTGACTTGCATTTCTCTGGGCCAAATTTACTACAGTTGTTAAAAGGTACTGTGACAGAAGCGTAGGCAGGACAGAACACACAAAGAAGATGGTAAACACACAAAGCTTTATTGAACTATAGAAGGCCCTTAATCGGGGCAGCTCTTGGCCCTCCGCAACATGCGGCTTGTAGGGACACTCACGGTAAGCGGGCTCACTGGGACTCAACGGGACCTTGGCTATGGGGTTTGATCTCAGCACAGCTCCCACACAGCTTTCTAGGGACAACATCAGGCTCACGGGGATTTAACGGGACCTTGACTATGGGGTCTGACCTCAGCACAGCTCCCACACAGCTTTCTAGGGACAACAGCAGCCTCACGGGGACTCAGCAGGGACTTTGGCTGTGGGGCCTGGCCTCAGCACAGCTCCCACACAGCTTTCTAGGGACAACAGCAGCCTCACGGGGACTCAACGGGACTTTGGCTGTGGGGCCTGATCTCAGCACAGCTCCCACACAGCTTTCTAGGGACAACAGCAGCCTCACGGGGACTCAACGGAACTTTGGCTGTGGGGCCTGGCCACAGCACAGCTCCTACCCAGCTTTCTAGGGACAACAGCAGCCTCTCGGGGACTCAACGGGACTTTGGCTGTGGGGCCTGACCTCAGCACTGCTCCCACACAGCTTTCTAGGGACAACAGCAGCCTCACGGGGACTAAACGGGTAGCGATGGATCAAGCACTCAGGGGAGCAGTCCAGGTAGCTATACTTCGGGTACGCCATGGGGCAGTTCAAACAAGGGTAGTCTGAGCACACAATAGGGGCAATTCATGACAAGGGTGGTCTGAGCGCACAATAGGGACAGTTCATGAGAAGGGTGGTCTGAGCGCACAATAGGGGAAGTTCATGACAAGGGTGGTCTGAGTGCACAATAGGGGCAATTCATGACAAGGGTGGTCTGAGCGCACAATAGGGCAGTTCATGACAAGGGTGGTCTGAGCGCACAATAGGGGCAGTTCATGGCAAGGGTAGTCTGAGCACACAATAGGGGCAGTTCATGACAAGGGTGGTCTGAGCGCACAATAGGGGCAGTTCATGGCTTCTAGGGCACTCGCAATAGGCGTCTTGCAGATGCTCAGCAGCAAGCGGCTTCCAGGGAGGTAGGCAGCTTGCAGACGCTCAGCAGCAGGCGGCTTCCAGGGAGGTAGACGACTTGCGGACGCTCAGCAGCAGGCGGCTCCCAGGGAGGTAGGTGGCTTGCGGACAGTCACGGCTCCGGCAGGTATGTCCTGGCTCACAGCAGGGGACAGAAACAAAGGGGGTAGGGTGAACCTCCTCAGCACACAGCAGAGGGATAACCCGGGCCCCAGAGTATTAGGCAGGGTATCATGGGGCCCACAGCAAAGCAGTTCTAGCACACAGCACAGCGGGTAATCCGGGCCCCAGGGTATTAGGTAGGGTATCATGGGGCCCACAGCAAAGCAGTTCTAGCACACAGCACAGTGGGTAATCCAGGCCCCAGAGTATTAGGGGGGTGGCAGCGGATACTCCCAGCCCTGGAGTATTAGCAGAGGGGCAGCGGATACTCCCCACCCTGGGGTATTTAGCAGAGGGGCAGCGGGTACTCCCCACCCTGGGGTATTTAGCAGAGGGGCAGCGGGTATTCCCCACCCTGGGGGTATTTAGCAGAGGGACAGCGGGTACTCCCGACCCAGGGGGTATTGAGCAGAGTGGCAGCGAATAATAGTCCTGACCTTTGTGGGGGTCTCCTGCAGAGTGCTCATCGGGGATGGCTGCGGAGGCCTGGTCCCCCCGCCCGGACCTCCCAGCGGCTTGTACTCCAGCAGTGGCGGACAGCACAGGAGGAAGAGAGTGGCCTGGTCCCGCACTGGCCTTTTAAATCCGTGCGGGATGCTTCCGGGTTGCCCCAGCAACGTTCGGCCCAGCGCTGCGTTGCCGGTGCAACGAGGCACGTCCCCTTGACTCGGGCCGTGCTCTCATGAGCGCGGCCTTTGTCACTGGTGGGCGCAGAGCGCGGGAAGCCTTGTGCCCGCGCTGCACCCACCCAGGGGCGGGCATAGACCTCCCTGCAGCCCTCCGCCGGGGTTTCCTGGTGGGGGGGGGGTCACAGCTCCTCCGGCTAAATTGCCGGGGGCTGTGATCCTTGCCGCAGTGGTCCCCTCCCCCATCCTGCACCGCCTGCTTCAAGGCTGTGTGCAGAATGAGAGGATGTGATGAGGGGGAAGGGAGGGGGGAGCGATCAGGGACAGTGGGCACAAGTGACAAGTACATTTAATAGGCAATTGTCCATCCTACAGAAGATGTAACAAACAAAAATGTCACATCTGTACTAGCAGTGCATTTTAAATGCCATCACATCTGTTCCTTTCTTTTATGCAGAGCAAATGTAAGAGGATGATGGGTTTACTGTGAAAAAAAGAAAGGAAAGGAAGTTAAGGAGACTTCTGTAATTTATATAAACTGTGTCTGGTTTGTTTCCAGTTAAAGCCAGTAAAGAAGATAAAGGCATTAGCATAATTTATTCCATCCACAAATCACATGAACTGACTCCCAAAAAACCCTTTTTTACTGTGCATTAAGTTGTGAGCGGAAAAGAACACACATGGAGCCGGGAAGTGGTTCAGAACCTTTGGCAAAGGGGTTATTTATTGAAAGATTAATCAAAGTGAGGATTTATTACTATGACAGGCAAAGTCCACAGTGTACACAGAAGTAGTGCAGTGGAGACAGAGTTGGTCCAAAGTAAATGAAAAGGGGGGTGTTATGCAGCTCATTTGCAGCCTCCAATACACACAAGTAGAATGCAGCAAAAGGGGGTCCATAAAGAGAAAAGGGGGGGGCTCAAGGTCTAAATAGCAGTTCACAGCTAATGAGAAATGTAACACTCACCATCAGTTCCTTTAAGGACCTTTTTACACTAGAAACTGTGCAATTCTGCATGAGCGTTTGTCGCATGCTTTGATTATCATTTACTGTACATGGATTTGTGGTTTGCTATTTTGTAGGAGTTTGCTTTCATTTTATTTGAGATCAGTTCCTTCTTCTTTCTTTGTTAAGATGTTATATGCGCTGCATTGCATTTATATGCATTTGCATGCATTTACGGGTATTTGCATTGTGAAAAAAAAAATGCAGCCTGTTGTTGAAGACCTGTCCACTGCTCTGGGAGCGGCAGGAAAGGGAGCCTGAGACCTGCATGGAGTAGGGTTGCCACCTGTCCTGGATTCACTTGGACAATCCAGGTTTTGAATCATGTGTCCAGGTTTCAGTCCAGACACATGAAACCTGGAAACATTATTCAGGCCAAACAGTGGCTGGGGAATGAGCAGTGTTGGGGTACTCAGTTCAGGTTGGGGGTTGATGAGACAGACGGTCCATGGTTCCCCTCTTCTCCTGGTCAAAAGACCTTCCAGGGGGTCGTAAAAACAGACTTACTTTTAAAAACTCACTTTTTATATAAGCTGATATCTTCACGTAGGACATAACTACCTAAACATGGAGCCTATATTCGGAAGGCTCAGTTTAAGGCCATTCTCCTGGTATGTGACACCCCTTAGCTAGCATACATAGAAAAGCAGAAAAGTATATCTCTTTAACCATTCAAGTGCATATTTCATGTTTCATCTCTAACCATTCTGCAGATGCGGCTGAGTATTAATATACTAGTGCCCAAGCCGGCAAAAGTTATGAGCCAAAATATAAGCTACAAGAGATTCTGGTTGTACTTAGGTCTCCTCCCAACACCCCCTCCCCAAAAGGAGCCCATTGGTTACTACTCCAAACAGACACCCTGCTGGGATTTGGTAGAAAAAGGCTGTTAAGCTTGCAGTTGGTGTATGTGAGAAAAAGAAGAGTCTCCCTGTAACATTGAAACTGAGTGAGAGACCAGAAATCCATTTTGGCTCATGAGACTTGAAGCTGCTTAACCCAAGGCTTTTTGGCAAGTACTTATCTACCTAAACTTCTTTCTGTTATCTCTTTGCTGTGCTGTTGTTCTTTGTATATTTATATATATATTGGTTACATCTTGTTTCTGTAAATATTTTTATTGCACCCTTTTGACCTTTTAGTAGTAAATCTTTCTTTCTGAAAGTGTTGAACTGTTTCTAAAGCTCCTTAATGCAACTTACGAATTCCTGCTGCTGAAGAGCGCTACTATGTGTGTTTAACCCTCTGTATAACCTGTCTGCGGTGACAGTGGTATACAGACGATTATCCAATCATCCTAGTGTTATTGCTGATATTGCCGAGTTTCCTCTTTCTCTGTACAAAAAGGAGGTGGTCGCAGTGTGAAGGGTTAATTGCGTAATTAACCTGACCCAGTAACAATCGCTCCCAGGCTGCCAGGACATCGATTGTGGTCCAGTGAGCTTGAAAATCGTTGTTTAGGGTGCAGCTCGGTGTGGCATTGTTACGCACGTGACATTAGATTGGCTAGTCCTTCGGTCATGAGTTTAGTGAGAAGGGC